GGCGGTGTCATGTCAGTGGTTTTTGCCACTTTTTCGATGCCAAATCGCAGTCGTCACCTTCCTTGTTCGCCGACCAACCACAAGCAGCAATGTGCTCCTGTTTACACCATTGATCTACCACCAAGACTTTGCACTGCCCTCCACAAAGCTAGATTGGGCCGCCTTCAATCGCTGAATGTAGTTGCTAAACAAATGCACGACTGTTTTAAAATTGAAAGAAGTGGTTGCAAATAAGCCCTACGCACCCATTGCCATATATTTCCTTTGAATTTTCGAATTTTTTGTTGTTTTTCCCCTCTTGAAATTTGGGTTGTGATGTGGATTATGTGTTAAGAGTTTGTAGTTGTGGTTTGTTGAATTGGGTTTTGAAATGATTTATGGGAGAGTCAATGGCTTTTTTTTCTTTTGTAGTTTTGGTGTCAGTTAGCGGCTTTGAATTGGGTTTTTTTTTTTGGTTGTTTTGTTGTGAAATTTGTGTAGTTGTGGTTTTGTTAATTTTGGAAACAATTTCCCTCTTGGAAATTTAGAGATGATACGTGGATTGTGCTAGGGAGGAATTAAAGGATTCTGGGCATTGAGAGGGGAGTTGCTTGGCATGGTGAGGAAGAAGAGATGCGAGGAAGAAGAGAGCGGAAAGCAAATGACCGTTTTACCCTTGATCGTTAAATTAAACAGTTTTCCATTAATTTAAGAGTGAGAATCTGAAATTTATAAAACCAGTGAGAACTTGGCATTTCGCGAAAAGTTGGGTGGGATCAAGTCGTTTACTCAAAAAAAAAAAAAAAAGGTTTATGATATAATATTAAAATCAAGTCAACATTCTAAACAATAAATATCTTTTAACACAGCTCGTAATATTATATTTTTATTAGGGGCGGTTTGGTTCGGGGTTAAGTGGTATTACTGGGGTAATTGTCATCTTAATTACTTGATTACACGTTTGGTTGTCAAGTAATATAGATACCAGTAATCTTCAAATACTAATAGTGGTTACTATTGGTAATATAAGAGGTAATCGATTACCTCTATTTTCTTAGGTTTTCTGAGATTACCAGGGTTATCTTTTTTGTTACAATTTTATCCCTTATTAATAAAAATTTTGGACAATAATACCCTACTTAAACAAATTACATTAATATCCTATTCAATTTTACCCTTGTTTAATTAAAATTTTGGACAATAATGCCTTTATATTTAAATATTTACAGACCACCACTGCCACCAAGCCACCACCACCACAGCCACCAGCCACCACCGTCGACAGCCGGTCAACCACCACGGACCACTGCCGGACAATTTTCGGAGTCCCTAAAAACACTGGAAATTCTGTGGGAGGCTCCGAGAGGCTTCGCTATGGCCGTTTTCGGGGCCGAAAATGGCCAATCGGGCCAGATCTGGCCCGATATGCGTTTTCAGCCATCAATATGGCCAAAAACGGCCATAGCGGAGCCTCTGGTCCGGTGACGTACTCACGGGCACATCCGGCGGTGGTTCGCGGTGGCGGCAGGAGGTGGGGGTGATTTTGTCATAAATTAAAGTTTTATATAAGCGGGGGTGTTTTAGCTAAATCTGAAATATTGGGGGTAAAAGAATTATTCAAAATTAATAATAAAAATAATTTTATATTAATATTTAAAAGGGGACAATTAGTAATTTAAATAGTATACCCACCAATTTATTCCCCATAACCAAACATATTAATATAACATACCCACCAACTAAACAAACATATTTTTCTAAAGATTCCCAGTAATCTTTCAAGGTACTATCTTTCCAGTAATTCAATATTCCCAGTAATCTAACATTCCTGAACCAAACGCCCCTATTTGTAATTAAAAGTATGCAACACCAATGGATTGATTGAGTGGTAAAGGTTTAGGGTCAAGAGATTGCTCATCTATAGTTTTAGGTTTGAATTACAAACATAGTTAGCTATATTGTGGTCACGAATCACAAGATTTGCTTTATTTCAAAAACTTTGTTTGGGGTCGAGGAAGTAGTTATGCAAAACTAATCCAAATATCTTTGATTTAAAAAAAAAAGGTCAAACCTTTTATATTTTATATAAAAAAAAATTTAAATAATGAAGGTGTTTGTTATATGGAAATAAAACTAGAGTCAACTTGGCTATTTTGTCGCGCCCCCTAAACACTGCCACCACAAATATCCCATTTCATCTTTCACCTGCCTCTCTCAAATCAAACTCATTTTGAGAGAGTTGAGACAGCAAAATCAAAAACCAAAAGCCAATCAAGCCCTAGGTTTTCACAAACACAAAAATGGCTGTCTCTGATTATCATCTCGCCAATTCTTACCCAAGCTCTCTACTCCTCTTCATCCGCCAAGAGACTCTACGATTTGAGTTTGACGAACACGCACCGTACTGGAATGTTAATCAATCACCACCGACCATTTCACCCTCATCAAATGGTGGTGGATTCGTGATTCCGGCGCGCCGAAAGAGAGATTGAGATGTACTCTCCCGCTTTTTACGCTGCGGTGTACGGTCGGAGGGATCTTGAGCTGCGGCCTCACTCACACGACCGTTACTCCTCGATCTCGTCAAGTGCAATATGCAGGTCAGTTTGAATTATATTTATACTTGTAAAATATCGTGTTCGTTGACGTGTTCTGATTTTTCTGATGATTTTACTTGTTTTCACTCGTGATTTCATTAATCTTTCTTCTTGATGATTGCTATTAAGTATGGGATTTGAATTTGCATTGAAGAATGGATCTTGTGTTACGGATTGGGTCTCTGCTTGTAGAACTCTCAATGATAAATAATTTTATATTGACCCTCTCACTGCTTTTACTCGAAGGACTGTTTTCCAGTTTTCACATAAAAAGAATATAAAAAATTGATGTATCGCATCCAAACAAAATTATGGGTCCCACAACATATCATTATTTAAGTTTAGATATCCCCAAATTCCTTTAGTTAATGTGGCTTCTAAATTACATCAATACATTGTCTTATCATTTTATTTGCATTAGATACTTACATTAAATATAATAAAGATCAAATATAGTTTTTTTTTTTTTTTTTTTTTTTTTTCCTTTATTGAAGTAAGATAATTACTCTTCAGGCGTATAACTTAACTTCATCAAGTGAAGACATTATTTAAGGACCTTAACAGCCGGTTAGTTGGGCTATGTGGGCCTTTTCTGTAACCGAATGAGTTGGTCACTTTTTGCCAAAGAGTTGTAGCCCGACGAAAGGTTCAGCCTAATATCCCACATATAAGCATTACGTCCTGCTTACTCCAGCCTGCTACAATTTGTTCACGTCTCGGTAACATATTTTGAAATATTCAAACTTCCTTAAAATTTATTTATAGAATACAAAGAGGGGTTAAATAAATATATTCGTAAAACTGCAAAGAAGGAAAAGTCAAGAAGTCAAAATTTCCCGGCAAAACTCAATAAATGCCATTCAAAGTCGAGGAAAACGATATTTCGTTGACTCTTTTCTTGCGCTTCAGGCAGCCACCACCACCTCTATTTCATTGTTCCTTTCCTCTCTCAACCTCAAATCACAAACATTTTTGTTTTCTTTTCCGAGGAGAGAGCACAAAAACAACCAAAATTAAAACCCAAACAACTAACAAGCCTTATATTTTTTATGAAGGACAAAATGTTTCTCTCTAATTATGATCACTCTGGTAATTCTTTGATACCAAACTTTCTCTACTCGTCTCATCGTCCAAAATACTCACGAGTTGAACGATCCGATGAACACGAACGGTGGAGTGTTTCATCAATCACCACGTTGGTTTCTCCATCAAATGGTGGTGGTTTCTGATTCCGGCACCAAGAAAAAGGTGGAGATGTACTCTCCAGCTTTCTACGCTGCATGTACGGCGAGTGGTAGTTTAGTAATGGCATCACCCACACGGCTGTGACTCCTATCGATGTGCTCAAGTGCAATATGAGGTCGATTTTGTTTTTTCTAGTAAAAAAATAAAAACCTCATTCGTTAGTTTTGCTTGTTTCTTGTTAATATTCATTTTCCCGGTACTGCTTGTTTTAACAATCGAATTTAAAAAATCAAAGCGAGAAAACTACGTTTGATTTTCAGGCTCAATAATGCGTCTGGTAAGTTTGCTAAGACCATTTATATATTCTGAAAATCATTATCTATGACGTTTCGGAAAACAGGTTAAACAAAAATTTTCCGTCACTTTGTTTTTTTTAACGATAAAAACCATATTCTAGAAAAGATATAGAACAACTAAATTTTTAATTATTTATGATAAATCACTAATTTGTTTGAAATATTGGTAATTTTATGCAGGAAATTGTTTTGTTTCTGGATTATTGTATCTTGATAACGTTTTTGGAAGAATGATTTTGATTATGTAAAAATTTATTTGCAATGGAGTCGCGAGTAGCAGATTCAGAAATTTCTGTTAGGGGATCAAATAAAAATTAATTACACATTAATATTTTTGTTAGGGCGGGCAAAATTAAAAAATTGTATGTATTAGTATTTTAAAAAAAAAAATTCAGGGTGGGCTATGGCGGGATCGCCCCTCACGTATTTTTAATATTAAACGTTAAATCTATAAATGATAAAATAAATAATAACTATATTAAATTTATCATATGAAACTCGTATCACATGGGTTAATTATTCGATAACTTCACTAGGGTGCTGTGGTATATTACTTTTTATTAATTAGTTACGTATGATCTTTATTTTTATGAATGGAGTATAATATTGTATTTGAATTAGACTAATTTGTTTTTTGATTTGTCATTTGTGTTTCTGAAACACGTTTTGATTTATGAGGTTAGAAAAATGTGCGTTTTAATGTTGACTTGTCAACTTATTATTATTATTATTATTATTAATTTTAATATTTTATCTGTTGGTGGGTGGGTTTGAGAGTTTTGAGTTGACCCTCCTCGAAAATAAATCTTTTGAAGTGTACAATTTAATAACGAAGTTGTCTTTTTGAACTTTCAAAGCTGGCAAAGAATAGCCTTCTTGCTTGCGCTGGAGTCAATTGATGGATTTTGGAATGTCACGTTTTAATGTGTACTGTAAAATTGTAAAAATGAGATATTATGTAGATATCTCTTAATTTCTAAACTGTGAATTAATTAAGTGCTAATGGTATTCTCAATACTCTCAGATTGACCCAGCAAAGTACAAAAGCATCAGTTCTGGATTTGGAGTTTTGCTCAGGGAGCAGGGATTCAAGGGCTTCTTTCGGGGTTGGGTGCCCACCTTGCTTGGTTATAGTGCTCAAGGTGCTGGCAAATTTGGATTCTATGAGTTCTTTAAGAAGTATTACTCGGACATTGTTGGGCCTGAGTACGCTTCCAAGTATAAGACCTTGGTATACCTTGCTGGTTCAGCATCAGCTGAAGTGATTGCTGATGTTGCCCTCTGCCCAATGGAGGCTGTGAAGGTCCGAGTCCAAACTCAGCCTGGTTTTGCCCGGGGTTTGGCCGATGGGCTTCCCAAGTTTGTCAAGTCTGAAGGTGTTCTTGGGTATGATATCCATGAATGACATATTTGGTTATTTGACTCAGTGAATTTATATTTCTTTGAGTTCTGATTTTGATGTGATAAATTTGAATGTTTTGCAGATTGTACAAAGGGCTTGTTCCTCTTTGGGGACGTCAGATTCCATGTAAGCCAAATTATGTCGAATTCTTTCATGTTTCTATTTGTTTCGAATTTACTTTCCCTGCCTACTTTGAATTTTATCAGACTGGTATTTTCGTTCTTTTGCATTGCCAAATCTTCAAAGGTTGCTGACATGTATTGAATAGCCTATGTGCACTCTCACTCTTTCTCTTATTAACCTTTTTGTCTAGCCATCTCAATTCTTTTTAACTATCTCAACCTTCAGAATGCTTTTCAACTCTCTTTTTCTCCAATTGCATTGATTTCATGAACATAGGCTTATATTCTTTAGATGTTGAGTTTGCTGATATATGTTATAGTTAGTATTCTATCTTAAGACAAGGGTTGCTTACAATCAAAATGCGTACCCACAGATACGATGATGAAATTTGCTTCTTTTGAGACAATTGTGGAGATGATGTACAAGTATGCCATCCCAACCCCAAAAGACCAATGCAGTAAATCTTTGCAGCTTGGAGTAAGCTTTGCTGGTGGATATGTGGCGGGTGTATTTTGCGCAGTTGTGTCACATCCTGCTGATAATCTGGTGTCTTTTCTGAACAATGCAAAGGGAGCGAGTGTTGGTGATGTGAGTGAAGTTTACCTCTCGAGAATTCCTGTCTCTATTTATAGTTTATTTTTTCAGTTTGTTCAACTGTTTCCTCATTGCAGGCGGTGAAGAAGCTGGGATTATGGGGTCTTTTTACTCGTGGCCTTCCCATTCGTATTGTCATGATTGGAACTCTTACTGGAGCCCAGTGGGGTATTTATGATGCTTTCAAAGTTTTTGTTGGACTGTAAGTTCCATTTCCTGTACTTGAACTATATTTGCACAGATAAGTTAGTTCCACGTAGTGCTCAAATTTTCTATGCAATCAAAGAAATAATTGGATAATTTTTGTTCTCTTCAGGCCAACAACTGGTGGTGCCCCTCCGCCTCCTGCAAAAGCATGAATTATAGCTGATGATCAAACATCAACAAGCATTTAATGTTTGGGATTTTAGAGAAGAACTTTGTGCTTTGACGGAACACAATAATAGTGGTGATGCTACTGGGTCAGGTGGCTCAAATCGGGGCTGATTTCTCCTCAATAAGGACATCCGTTGCTAGCTGGAAATGTATTCTCTTGTAGACGATTTCTTTTTCATTATTCTTATTCTTGCTGCTCCAAATGTTTTTTCTCGATAGGATGTTCTTGAGTTCATCCTTGCTTTGGTTAGATATGTACTTGAAATTGTAGTCTGACTTTTGATGTATGGAAAGGTTCCGCATGGTGGAATATGAGACTTGATAATGCTTCATTAGTAACCTCGGTATATAAACTGATTTGCAATAAATACAAATACAAAATTATTAGGAAAGTAAAATTTATTATTTATTAATAACATAAAAAATTTCAACTCACTTCTTTTATAAAGTCAGATCATAATAAATAATTACTTTCTCTTCACAATGCTATGTTGTCCTAAACTTCAACATCACTATTAAAGAATTATGTATCTTTACAATAAAAGATGACCAAAAATTAACCAACTTCTAAGTTAGCAAATGGTTCGACAGAAACTATTGAAAATATTACTCAAAATGTTTTAAATTTAAACCCCTTCTTAGATTGTTAATAAGAGTGATAATTAAAACTTTTACTTGACCAGTAATTTCAAAGTCTTAAAGAATTGGTCAAGATACGTGTAAACTAGTCTGGACAGCTCCAATTATAAAAAACAAAAACAAAAATTGATGACCAAAAATAATAATCAATAAATGAATAATTATAACAAAATTATATTACACCATTTATTTGTTTTACTTTCCACGGAGATGCTAACTAGTTGTTGAATGATTCTGATCAAAATCTTAGTTTAAGTTCAGATTAAGAGGGTATACAGTATCAAAGACGATCCTTGCAAAAGTATGCCGAACCTCGGTCAGGCTTCCCAAAGCTAAGGACTCGTAATCAATCTTACTACCCTGCTTTGACACAAATTCCTTTTGTGCGCCTCCTCTCACACACTCAAAAATCTTGCATGCTCTCAAATACAATCCTAATGGTATAAAAACCTGAAACATGAAAGAATGCCCATTTATTGTATTATAAATGCAATGTAAAAAAAAAATAAAAAAGAAAAAGAAAAAGCATCAAGTTGACCACTCATGTTAATCGCGCTTGTCTGGACTGTTACATCTCTTATATAAATACCCTGGTAGTTAATTTTCATTTCGATTTAACTGTTGACTTGTCTTGACTAGTGACATTTTATGATTATCCTTTCTTTTTTAAAGTTGACATGAAAACAAAGCATCCAGAGTCTTATCTATTGCTCGTTTTTAATTCCATGACCACAGATGTGAAAAGAAATTGAAGGAAAATGCTCACCAGGTCAGAAAAAGGAGCTTGAGGGTATCCTGCCATTGCTTGAGATACAACATACTCATCAGTCATCTTGATCAACGCAGCTTTAATTGATGTTGCAAGATCCACAGCTTCAAATTTCACTGTCTCGAAGTCCAGAACATGAGGATCTAATAATTCGTGGAAGGTATCATCATGTGGTTTGGTGATCTTCCTCGCAATCTTTACTGCTTCCAACATATTTCCACCATTGTAGACAGCAAGGCTAAACACAGCAACCACTAAAGGATCCCTAGGTCGGTCCGACAATGCTTTATGGAACGCCAAGATTGCAACCCTGAATAATAAAATATTTTTATGGCTAAGATATTTCAGGTCAATACAAAACATTTAATGAAAGGAGAACAAAAACATTCGAAACGTGATTTTTCAAACAGGCAAACGAGCACTTTATCAACATTTATCTTGTTATCCAATGGGTAAAAGATCAGGCGAAAAAGCAAAAAGTAAGAGAACCCTTGAATAGCTACAGTCAAGTGGCATGAAGAAATTAACATAGATATTAGGGAATTAGATGCTTGAACTTCTAGACCAATATGCTTTGATGCCCATAGAACCAAACTATGGTCCTCTTGAATGATTTTTATTTTTGGTCTCTGGCAAAGATATATTCCTGTACGATTGGCTGATTAGATTTCTAATACTGATATGATATAATGGCCACTGCAAAATCAACAACTTCTAACAAAGGTAGCCTGTGTCTTTGGTACATAACAAGTTACTTAGAGATTTCTCATACATTTGGCCACAAAGAATTCGAGAAGGGCAGGATACAGCTTAGACAATTTCTTCCACTGGACATCTTAAACTTTATCATTTCGAAGATATATGATTTTATACATGTTGACAATCAGGAGTAATTATCTCCAAGTTGGTTCTCCAATATTCAAGGCCCTAATTTGTCTCTACTGCTAGCTGTATAGATAGACTAGAATTACTAGAATCCCTGTAAATATGTGATTGCATCTCGACCGCTATAGTTTCCTTATAGTTAGTCAATCAGTCCTAAATTATAGGATCTAAAGCTTTGTACAGTGGCCATTTATGCCCAGCCAATAATAGAGAAAAGAATCGAAGTCTTCTCCTCACAAACTCTGTATTTTTGACTTGGTATCAGAACAGGTATTATTATCCATTCTATATCATCACAACCTGAATTCTTATATACCCCTCGCACCATGACTAATGACAAACCCGAATCATCCTCTGTACCGGTTATCCATGTTCAATCAGAAAACCCCAGTTTTACAACTAATGTCATCCTTACTGAAACCAATTATGATGTCTGGTCTCAAATCATGGAAATGCAGATTACAGGACGTGAGAAGCTTGAATATCTTACGAGTAAAACATCTCTGAAGGTTACTGATCCTTCCTATGCGAAGTGGTATGCTGAGAATCAAAAGGTCAAAGGATGGTTACTGACCTCTATGTCATCAGAGATTATGAAACGCTATCTTAGATTGCCTAGTGCACGTGAAATCTGGAGTGCTCTTGCCAAAGCATTCTATGATGGGCAGATGAATCGCAACTCTTTGCACTGAATCAACAAGCATTCTCTACCAAACAGGTTGGTCATCCTCTTTCCACCTATTATGGTAATCTGATAGAAATTTTTCAAGAGTTAGATCATCGTGAGAAAATTGTCATGAACGATCCCGATGATGTTATTGCCTATAAAAAATCAGTTGAGAGACTACGGGTGCATATTTTTCTGAATGGACTAGATGCAGAATTTGAACAAATTCGAGGTGAGATTCTCATGAGGGATCCTGTACTGGATCTTGAAGAAACTTATGCGTATGTTCGTGGTGATTCTGTTCGCCAAGCTGCACTGAATGGTGAACCTGAACATTTAGAGCCATCTGCTATAGTAGCTCGCCGAGTCAAATATCAACGACCGCAAACAAACCCAAAACCAGATCGAACCTCTGGTCCACTGAATCGTGATCATAATCAATCATTTGGATCACACGCGGCTACAAAATAGGAGTTGCACGACCAAAATGTATGTGTACTCATTGTGGTGAAACCGAACACACTAAGTCACGGTGCTATGAATTGATTGGATATCCAAAATGGTGGGATTTTGCCAAGGCACCTCGTAAACTAGATTCAAAGACAAACCATCATGCTTCTGTTGATGTAGTAGAGCCTAGTCATTCTTCCACCAGCAATCCTGAGAAAGCCTCCTCTTTCATTGCTACTTCTAAGAATGTGGGTAAGGCTCTTCATACCTCTACTGTTGTTAGTCATAGTGAATGGATAATTGATTTAGGTGCCACAAATCACATGACCTTTAACAATAATCATATTCAGTCCATAAAATCCTCAGACCAACATATAGTGTCCACAATCAATGGTACCCCCTGTCCTGTGTTAGGAGAAGGTTCAATTTCTCTTACCAAAAATTTCAATTTAGATTCGGTTTTGGTTGTCCCTTCCCTTAATCATAACTTATTATCTATTGCTCAAATAACCCTTGCTTTAAATTGTATTGTGATTTTTTGGCCTAACCTTTGTATATTTAAGGACATTCGGACTCGGAAGACAATTGGTTATGGTACTAGGACAGGGAAGCTCTACTATCTGGATCTAATGCCGGTAAGCTCAAATTAGTTGGCTCAAGTTTTTTCAACTAATACACCTAATAAACTTCAGAGTTCAGAAATTTGGTTATGGCATAAGCGTTTAGGCCATGCATCTTTTGGATATTTACAGAAATTGTTCCATAGCTTTTTTCGCAACTGATTGTTTCAAATTTTAAGTGTTACATTTGTGAACTGGCTAAAAGTCATCGTGTTCTATTTCCTATTAGTATTAATAAAAGTCCTATACCTTTTATGGTTATTCACTCTGATGTATGGAAGCCTACAAATACTTCGAGTGGAGCACGTTGGTTTGTTTCATTTATTGATGATCACATTCGTATGACTTGGATTTGCTTGATGAAATCAAAGAGTGAAGTGAGTTCCCTGTTTCAGCAATTTCACAAAATGATAACAACTCAATATTAATCTAACATTCAGGTTATCCGTACTGATAATAGAGGCAAGTTTATCAATCAAGATTTGAAACAGTACCTAAATTTACATGGCATTGTTCATTAGACTACTTGCCCTTACACCCTCAACAAAACGAGGTAGCCAAACGAAAAAATCGTCACCTTCTTGAGGTTGTTCGTGCTTCCTTGTTTGGAGCTCACACGCCCACCAGTTATTGGGGTGAAGTTGTCACCGCTGTAGCCTACCTCATCAACTATGTATCTTCTAGTTCCCTACAATTTCAAACTCCCTTTGATGTCTTTCATCATATTGTAAATGCTCCTACCATACCGAATTTGTCCCCTAAAGTTTTTGGATTGTAGCCTTTGTGCATCTTCAGAAAGGCTTGAGAACTAAGTTGGAACCCCGGGCATTTCGATATGTATTTGTTGGCTATGCCTTGCATCAAAAAGGTTATTGGTGTTATCACCCCCCTTCTCGCAAGCTTTATGTTACCCTTGATGTGGTCTTTCATGAAAATGATATGTATTATTTTGAGTCTTCACTTCAGGGGGAGAATAGAGATAAAGTGCAAACTTCACATCGTCCTTTGGACAACTTGGATATTATAAGAGGTGATAACTCGGAAACTAGTGGTGAATGTTCAAGTGATGGTAACTCCATTTGTAACAGGGAGGAGTGTCCAGGTGATGGTCTAGAATTTTTTGAGGATGAGAATTAGGGTTAGATGGAAGTTCAAAATCAAATGGAAGTGTAGTCAGTCTCTCACGATTTACCAGCTAACCAATTGTCTTCCCCAGCCGATTCCATGCCTGAGTCTCATGAAAATTCTAAATCTAAACCTCACCTAAAAGTGTTACCCAATTGAGTCACAAGTAGGGCGGTGCAAAACCGGGTACCCAAATAAAAAGGTACCCACAAACCGAACCAGTTTTTAGAATACTTGGTTTTGCAAGTACCCGAAAATTTGGGTCACAAACCGGCATTCGATTTGTGACCCGAATTTGATTAAAATTACACAACTGAATTATATCAACTTTGAAATTCATGTGTGTCAATCTTATTCGTTCTTAGTCACAATGGATCAAAATGCAACTTCTGATTATTACATTGTGGCCAGTGCTAGATTTGTGAATGAATCAGTGACACTTAAGATTCACTGTAGTATCATTAGTTGCCCACAACATCAACTTTTAATTTGCAAATCAAGCCAACGGCGTCGGCGACGGCAGTGCAGAAAGGTGATGGAGCTGGAGCAAAGTGAGGCCTAATAATTTGCAATCTCAAGAAGAAAATTTCAGTGGGTTAGTGGAGAGTGGAGACTGCAGATGCATACTGGAGAATTTGAGAGAGAGAGATGAGTGCAGCTATTGAGAGTGAGAGAGATGAGTGCGACTGTGCGTTGCAGATACAGACTGGAGAATTTGAGAGTGAGAGAGATGAGTTTGAGTACGGCTGTGCGCCTGTGTGCGGGATTTGAGTACTTGACGCAGTGACGGGCTAAACTTTTAAGGCATAAGGGATTTGGGGCTTTTGCGGTTTTGCCTTTGAAAATTGAAAGTCTGCGTTTTTTTTATTTTTTAATAAAACCGGTTACCAAGTACCCGGTTATCTTAAAGTAAATAACCGATACCCGAACCGAAAATTCAGGTATCAAGTTATAATTACCCAAAACCGACCTGAATTTTTCGGGTTTGGTTCGGTTAACGGTTTTTTTTGCACAGCCCTAGTCACAAGAGGGAAACCCAAAGTTAGCTATGAACCTGTCCTCAACTCTAAATCTAAATATCCCATAAATAATTATGTATCCTACCGTAGATTGCCAAAGGACAGTATGACATCTATGAATGAATTATCTGTTGTATCTATTCCTAACAGTGTGCAGAAAGCCTTGAAAGATCCCAAATGGAAGAAGGCAATGAATAAAGAAATGAAGGCCCTTCAAAAGAACTCAACGTGGGAAGTTGTTGACTTGCCTAAAGGGAAGATACCTGTTGGATGTAGGTGGGACTTCACCATTAAATACAAAGCCGATGGAACTATTGAACGGTGCAAAACAAGACTTGTCGCCAAGGGATATACTCAAACATATGGAATTGATTATATGGAGACATCCGCACCAGTGGCCAAAATTAATATTGTTCGTATTCTATTATCTTTGGCAGTGAATCTTGATTAACCTTTACACCAGTTTGATGTAAAGAATGCATTTCTGCATGGAAATCTCCAAGAAGAAGTGTATATGGAGTTGTCCCTTGGCTATAATCGGCAGACTAAAGGTAATAAATAGGTTTGTAGGTTGAGAAAATCCCAATATGGTTTGAAGTAGTCTCCTAAAGCGTGGTTTGGAAGGTTCACCAGTTTTATGAAGTCTATTGGTTACAAGCAAAGTAACTCAGATCACACTCTATTCTTAAAGCATAATGAAGAACAAATCACAACTCTTATTGTGTACGTTGATGATATGATAGTGACTGGAAATAATCCTGAAAAAAGGAAAACACTACAGGAGCATCTTGCCCATGAGTTTGAGATGAAGGACCTCGGTGAATTGAAGTATTTCCTCGGAATTGAGGTGTCAAGATCGAAGAAAGGTATTCTTCTGTTACAAAGAAAATATGCCTTAGACCTACTGAATGAAACTGGTATGACAGCATGTAGTCCAGCTAGCACTCCTATGGAAGAAAATCTGAAACTATGTGTGCATTCAAATCAAGTTCCTGCCAACAAGGAACATTATCAAAGGCTGGTTGGAAGATTAATGTATCTTGCACATACTCGGCCTAATTTAGCTTATGCGCTGAGTGTGGTTAGTCAATTCATGCATTCCCTAAGCGAAAAACATATGAATGCTATCATCCGTATCTTACACTACTTGAAGTCATCTCTAGGAAAGGGAATTTTATTCACAAAAGGAGACAATTTGGATATTAACGACTATATAGATGCTGATTAGGTTGGGTCAATTCAAGATAGACGTTCTACATCTCGCTATTTCATGTTTGTAAGAGGAAATTTGGTTACTTGGCAAAGTAAAAAACAGGAGGTAGCTGCTAGATCCAGTGCTGAAGCCGAATACAGAGGAATGGCTAAGGCAATATGCGAATTGCTGTGGATTAGAAATCTGATGCAAGATTTACATATTAAGCAAGTCAGCCCTATGAAGTTATATTGTGATAACAAGGTAGCGTGTGATATTGCCCATAATCCTGTCCAACATGATCGAACTAAACATGTTGAGGTTGATAGGAATTTTATCAAGGCGAAACTGGAAAACAAATTGATTGAAGTTCCTCATGTTCGATCTCAAGACCAGCTTGCTAATGTGCTGACCAAGGCAGTGTCAAACCAAGCATTTAATGATTGTCTTGACAAACTAGGCATGAGCGACATCTACGCACCAACTTGAGGGGGAGTGTTGACAATCAGGAGTAATTGTCTCCAAGTTGGTTCTCCAATATTCAAGGCCCTAATTTGTCTCTACAACTAGCTGTACAGATAGACTAGAATTACTAGAATCCCTGTAAATATGTGATTGTATCTCGACAACTATAGTTTCCTTATAGTTAGTCAATAAGTCCTAAACTAAAGGATCTAAAGCTTTGTATAGTGGCTATTTATGCCCAGCCAGTTATAGAGAAAAAAATCGAAGTCTTCTCCTCACAAACTCTGTATTTTTGAAACCTAGCAGAAATATGCTATGTGAGAAGGGCTCCAGCGAAACTGGTCAAATAAAGCAACAATGCAAGTATTTAAGCCACCCAACAGGTCTATGTTACTTTATGGCATATGAATAACATTATGAATAACATAATACTGATTTAAAATAACATTTCAGCACTTCCTAGTTGATTTTAATCTTACCATAAGCTACTGTGGCATGGCCTGTCAGGTGCCAGAAGCTTATCCAAGTTAGAGAACAGTGACTGCAAATGGAAGACCGGAATATTAGAAATTCTGACATGATTAGAAAGATCAAATACATTACACCTGAAAGCATTGTGTAAGAATCACAGCAGTATTCGTAGCTCAGGCACAAGATTTCCCAGATGAAGAAAAGTAGGGCATGCCTTTGTTACAATATTCACCAGTACTTGAATGGGAAATATGTTTAATATCAACAAATTAAAAGTTCAGGTCGAGACAAAAAAAAAATCATCAGCTGTACAGCCTTTAAACCAAATGTTAAAAATAAGCAAAAAACAACAAATCAACATAATGTTTACTAAAATTACCAGAAGCATATTAGATCTCTTGTCACGTCTCCGAAAACCATGCTGGACAAAATATGATGCCTGTCACACAAAGTTGTCTCAGTCCTCTAGAACCATGACCAACAAACAAATAGGCAAAACTGAATTATCAAATATGAACCTGAAGGGGTAGAAGTATTTCCAGAAGTCCAAATTTCCATAATAACCTCAAAGAAGCTTCAGCAGAACCATATGCTAGCATGTAGTTCATTTCCATCAGAAGCCTTCCCTGGACATTTTCAATGAGATATCAGCCAGCAAGAAACATTTTGATGCCACTCAAACACTTAAATACATGAAACTGTAATCGTGGAGAAGGTTATTTAATTACCCTATCAAGCTTTAAAATTGATGAGGATAGATGTTTGATAAAATGAGAAGTTTCCTTTGAAAAGCGAAATCCTAAACGGGCGCCGATTCTTAATGCCCGCAAAATGCGTGCTGTAAAGAACATGGAGTTAGACAAAGTTTGCCTGGTTGGCATGAGAAGTTGAAATTGACTCCATGTGCCAGAGGCTGTGTAAACTAAATTAACAATGTTAGTCTAATAAGGTCAAACTAATTAAAGAAACTGCAAACAAAAACTTACCACAATCATCCTGAAAAGAAGTATTTGCAGAAATAACAGTTCGTACCTGCAATCATATAAGACAAATGAGGACAATGTGCATAATAACAAGTCTTCAGCAACTCAAGAAACAGCTGTAATGAAACACAAGCACACTTTAGCTTTTCTTATGTCTTCAATTCCTCCGATGTAGTCATACACCATTTTTGCATATGGATCAAACATCAAGCTGCAAAAAGGAAAAAAGTATGTTAAAAGAATGTAAAAGAAGGCCACTACAACTGCTAAAATTTCAATGTACGACATATGTTGGAACAGATTCAAAGCCTTCCTACTCTAAAAGGTTGGAACAAATAACTTCAAGATATAGGGGTCATATAAAGAACCCGTTAATTGTAAAGTCCCGCTGCATACAATTCCTCCACCGAATATAATCCTTCTCATCACAGCCACTAGGTCTCTCAAATTCATAACTGAAGTCCCTACCGAATTTCCGTCCACTTGTGCTAAAACTTGAAACCTAATTTGTAAAAAACATTAAAATGCTTTTTCAGAAACGGAAAAATGAAAACTGAGATCAAATTTCACTTGTAGCTCTGATGTATTTAAAAAATTGGAAAAATGAAAACTTTGACAAAATTTCACTGCAGCAACATCCTTAACGAGGTAGAAAACAGTATGAGTTATTAATTAAAGAAATTTCCACATATGAATCTTAATATTGAATAGAAGATATGTAAATTCACAAAACAAACCTCCACAATAATATCCCCAAGGTGGACATGACAAATAGGAAACCTTTTACCAACTATCGCACACCGTGAAAATGCCCTCATCACCTGCAAGTTGGGTAAAATTTCAGTATGGTAAGTTAGAAGCCAAAATGCAAAAGTCTATAATCACAGTGCAAAACTGATGGAGATTCAAAGTTTCCAGAATCACCACCCTTCTAGATAGCCATAAATGAAACTTATTCAACTCTTCTATAAGAGTTTTGTGATAGACTTACAACTTCAAAATGTCATAGCCTATCCACCTTATTCAAAATTTCCCATCTCAGTATTTCATAGCAATAAATCATGCCAGTATGATAAGTTCAGAAATTAAGCTTATAAGTTTTCTCTTTGCTCCTTTTTGTTTCTTCAATTCTGATTAGTGCATTTATTACAATTTCTATGAAATTGACCACTTACACAGAATCAACAAAAATATAGTGAAGAATAATAGTCTCCAAAAAGTTGAAAAAAAAAAAAAAAAAAAAAAAAAAGAAGAAGAAGAAGAAGAAAAAATTCGAGTCTCGGCAAGCAAAATCAAATTAAAACCCTAATAATTGAAGTGCAAAATATTTCCAGTAATGCAGTTAAAACGAATCTCCACTCATCTAGTGCAACAAGGACAACAGTAAACGAAGTTGAACCAAATGTCAAGTTTACTCGCCCAAAAAACTCACAATGTAGACATTAAAAATGGAACTTGATGGAGTAAGAAACATCACATTTCCAGCCAAACAATTATGTGTTTTAGATTTGCATCTACCTAGCATGGCACATAGTAGAAGCTGAGACTAACCTCTTTAAGTTCAGCTGAAGTTATTATGTCAAAATCCTTCGGTATTCGCTTCAAGATAAGATCTCGTACACAACCTCCGACAAGGTAAACCTCATATCCTACAAGGTAAAAAGAAAGCATATCTATAAAATACCACATGGATAGAACACTAATGTTCTCACAAAGAGAAATGAAAAAAAAAAATTATCCCAAATGCAAGGTTTTGTTATGAAAAAAACTAAAACCTATCACAAAAAGCATTTGGAACATTTAAGATCATGCTTATAAAATATAGCTTGGATCTGGAAAGAATCTATTCAGGTGCAACTTCAATGAGCTTAAGAGGCCACATAAATCGTACGAAAAGATTAGTTGGACTTTTTCATCGTCGCTCTGATTTGAAGATTCTTCAAATGGCCAGAAAAGGGAGTGGAAAATTGTGTAAGTTATGAAAAATTTACAAATGTAAAAGTTTGCCCTCAATCCATCAGTTCTCAGTATTTTCCACGAAACACATGTTTGTTCCTTTGATTTTCCCATGTTTCCCTTTTGAATCCATCCAACCAATCAAGATGCTAGTGAGTACAAGTGGATTGTCAGAAAAGTCTTCTTTAAGTTCCAACAGTAACATATGGACATCACTCTCATTTTTATGAAGCATAAACATGACCATAGCTTCAATAAAATTACATCCCAATATCTAAAGCAACAGAACGCTAATCCCCTAAAAAATATTATTATACCAATAAATCTATCATACTTAGCAAATACAACACGACCAAGTTAGTCCCTCTAATACTCTGCCAGCACCGAGAATGTAGTTCAGAAATTTAAAAAAAAATAAGAGTTTGCAAAATTAAACTTCAAACAAACACAAATCGCTTTCGTCAGAATCAGAAATTCTTACGAACTATCCAAAATAAAAATTACAAGCACAAACCTTTTTTCTTGAGCCCATTAAGAACCTTCTTAGTTGGTTTATTGATCATTGAAGTACTAATTCCAAGGTCTTCTGCTTTCAACTTCTTCCACTCCGGTTTCTTTTTATTCAATTCACACACTTCAACCCCATAAAAATAAATAAATATATTAAAGCACTTTAAAGTTGTCAAACCCAAGTTCACAATCAACGCAAGGAAATTCACTTGCCTTTCCCATGAAGAGGATTAGAATTGTGATTGATTAGCGATTCCGCATCATCAAGAATCTCAATTGCAGCGACCGTGCTGAAGCTGACCTGAAAGAAGCGAATCAAATGGTTTAATCAGAAAACACAGTTACTCAAACGTGTAATCATGCATGGGTGAAATGGATAGAATTACCTTGCGAATGCAGTTAAAGAGAGAAGGTCGAAGAGAGAAGTGAGGTTTGCAAGCGAAAGCTAAGCCGGAAAACGCCATGTGAAAATAAGCTTAAACCCTAGCAAAGGCCAATTAGGGTTTAAGAAATATGTGAAATTTGAAAATATGAAAACGGATTGAAATAAATTTGCCGCTGAGAGACTCTAACTTTTGCGACACGTGTCAGTAAATCCATCGCTCCATGATACAACTACAACCTACTGATAATTGTTTTTGTTTTTTAAAAAATAAATAGAAAGCAAAATTTAAAATGAAAATTTTGGAAGTTGTATAACTTGAAAATTTTCCAATAAAATGCAGATCAAATTATGTTCTTGAACCTAATTAATAATAAATGGTTGTTACAAAGCTAACCAGTATAAACATAGTATACAAATCTAAAGGTAAATTAAAATCCATGTTATATTAGTGATAAATTATAACATTATAACTATTTATTTTTTCAATCGTTAATTAACATGACGGTATGTCAATCACCATTAGATGATCTGATATTAAAAGAACAAAAAGAGATTATATGAGTTTATAAGTTCGAGTCTTCCAAAGCTTTAATGGGTGTGGTCATTAGAACTTGTCCGAATGATAGTTTTAAAATATCAAAAAATTAATTAAAATATGCATAAACTACTTAAACACCTCAGATGACAAAAAAAAAAAAAAAAAAAATCACGGAATATCACATCTGTTTTTGCCTTCTCTTATATGTCCGTACCATTAGGCCGCTAATATGACCTCATTCCACCACACATCTGGGCTTTAGATGAAAGTCTTCACGTGTTGTTATGTGAGCCCATCAAAACTCTTTCTAAACCCTTAAATTAAATAAAATTTATTATAAAATTATCCTTATCTTCCTCTTCTCTCATTTACAATCAAGACTATACAAATCTATGAAATCCTAAATATAACTGGATATAATTATAAATAAACGCTTAACCCCAAAAATAAAAACTTGTTAATCTACAAAACATTGAAATAATATAATTACATCATTTTGTTAAGACTCTTTTCAGTTCTTTATACAAGAATTTTCAAAATACAAAAAACAAATTAATGTATCTCATATCTTTTCTTCTTAATTAATTTTAAGAAACAATTAGTTTTTTTATTCATATAACTCATAATAAATCTAATTTTAATTTTGTTTTAACATAACTTGTGAATGTCTTTATATTTATTTCTCGCACAAACAATAATTATAGTGGCACTACATAAAATACAATTTGATTAAATAGCAACTCAATGAATTAAGAAATTAATGATATTGCAGTGTTTTTTCCACCCATTACAAGTGTTTATTCTGATTTGGGACAATATTTTGTTTAGTTAGAATCTCTTAGAAGAATAGGAGAGGAGAAGAATAATAGTGGGCAAAGATAAGGGTGTATTTGGAATTAAATTTATTTAATAAATTTTAATTAAAATGGGGCTTAGAAAGAGTTTTGATGGGGTTTAAATAACACCATTCTATATGATATCAATCCAGTCCCTGCATAAGGGGCTGCAGAGACTTGTGTTACAGATTTTTGGTGCTGGCCTTCAACGATCAAAGAGAGAAAAGATGAAGTTGAATTTACATTATTATCATCGTTAAGGGCTAAATTAAGTGAACCAATCATCTATTTCGGCAAAACTAAAGCATGTTTATTCACCTTGCATGGATGCATGGATGCATGGATGAAGGCATATTTCAGCATACAAAACACAATCGTAGGAAAGTAATTAACTACAGTGTATGATTGAAATCGAATATTAATCTGATATAAGAAGTGGGTAGACGTAAATCAGAAACTAGCATTCAATATATATATTAATTTCCAAGTTCCGTCCAAAATAGTCAGACGCAATTTAATGAGCTAGACCCTAGATGCTACAATTTAGTAGGTCAATTGCATGAAATTTCCTCCAAATCCGTCCAAAATTAAATTTTGATTAGACAAATTTGATGGACGTAGACATGCATCTCATTGTCATCCTTAATGGGGTATTGGGGTCCAAGGCCGTCCATTTTGAGATTTGAGCGTGCACAAAGATAACATAATCTTGTTGTTATGACTATGGAAGCAATCAAAATTTCTGTTTGTGAAGACTCTAACTAATTAAGTTATTTGTCCACCTTACTTTATCAAAGATCTCAAACCAGTAATGTTCGTGGTCAAATCTTTTTCTTATCCCCGTTCTGGATACGTAGTTTTTGTTGGTTTTCACCAAGTGATTGAATGTTGCTGCGTCGGGTTTACGAGGATGAGGATACCGACATTGATCAAGTGGTATATAAAGCTATATATAACAGAAAATCTTTTCAGCTTATGAAATTATAATACTTCCAATTCATTAAAAGCGACATCTTTGTTTTCTTTCACTTTCAAAATCTTAGTTTTTCTAAGCAAGAAGATTAACTAAGATACTCCTAAAACAACGACATTCTTGTTTTTTGGCCAATTTATGAAGTCATCAGTTCTGTCATGCATATCTGTGAAGGAAGCTGTTAATATGCTTTCAGCAAATGGTCTGATCCAACAGCTGGCAGTGGAAACTGACGCATGTTTCTTAGCCAATTTATGTCTTTTCTGATAATTTGAGTTTTACCTTGTAAACTAGCCATGGTGTTACGATATGAATTAGAAATTTTAATTACGTTGTTGAGCATAATTAATTTCTTTCCAATAGATTGCAAACTTGTTTTACTCTGTTCATATTTCTCTTGTTAATTACCTTAAGGCTGAAGCTAGCTAGTAAGTGTTGGATGAATTGAATACAAGAATTCATAACAGACTACAGTATATCTGACAGGTGATGGAGACAAATTAATAACAATCCGGCCCGTCACGCGCATCTGATTAGTCACAATCAATACATATCATTGAAAATTAGAACACCTCAAAATCCCAACGAAATTCAATCTATCTAATGAAGTAATATTAATATGTATGACTCAAGATTTAATTTCTGCCATCTTTCTAAAGAGAAAACGTGATGAAATCCCACCATTCATGCATATTAAATTTGTATTTCAAATCATATATATGGCAAATATAAATGTCGGTACAATAATTGGAATTTTTTGGTGATGCGTGCTAGTAGCTAATATAGTATTATTACAAAAATAGCTGGTTGAGTTGATATATCATATGTTGTTGGCACAGAATTTGCTTATTCATGTCCTTGCTTAATTATATCTTCTAGCTAGGCATTAGGCAAATTTGTCGCCTTTATGAACCATAATGCAAAAAAATAAATAAATGAGCAGAGATTTTATTATTTGCATCATTGATCAGGAAAATCTGTAACGCAATTATTTGGTGCTAGACGTGTTGAGTTAAGTTTTCTTTTGGCCGTTCTGTGAGTACATTATCCTATCTTATAAATGGAAGAACTGATACACTAATATTCAATTATATGAGAGGCCAAAGTAACAAGTGTTTTGAATTTCTGCTTCTGATGGTGCTGGTCGAATGATATTTTTATTGTATCTTCTAAATAAATATACATCATTAATTAAGAATTGTATATCAGTCTTAATTTCTAGGTAGGGTGGTTTATATCTCAATTATTGAATGAATTCATTTCATATCCAACAAAGATCTCTCCACGATTTTATTTTTTTTATTGCCAGAGAAGTTCATTATAAAACAAAAGAAAAACTAGATGGGTCAAACTTCGGTGTTAATATTGTGTATAGCTTCTTTCACACGGCTTTAAAGGTGATGAAATCAAGAAAAGCGAGAAGAAACATGGTTGGTAAGCTTAATTAAGAGAATTAATTATACATATCGAACAAGCGAATGTTTAATTAATTAACAAAATTGGACCTGCAGGTAAAGGAAAGTTGCCTTAATAATGTGGAGAAACATTTCAACTACGTACTCAGAAGAAAAGCTTCGTCCAGGTGGACCCACTTGGTGCATGCATCCACTTGAGAGTCTGGAAACTGAGTGGTTCTTGTCAATGTACAGAGAGTTCCGGAAAGCTGAATGCTGATAGATACATCACGATTCTTGAAGAAGAAAGCTATCAATGAATATTGTGGACTCTTTCTTTCTTTCTTTCTTTCATGTAACAGTAGAGAAACAAATGGCTGGAGAGAAATGGCTCTCTGTAGGCAGCAGCTACGTGCTGAACGTTTGAATTAATAGCTGTATTAATTGATCATATCCTATCATATCGTCCTTAACACCAGCCACTTAATGGAAATGTATATATAAGAGAGAGGGAGAGGGTCCCTTCAATAATTTACCTGTATATTTCACGATGACAATAATCGATTTCTCATAACCTCACATCAGTTCATGTACTTTCAGGAGGAGGGTGACTGTCTGATATTTTTCTAATCAACCTCCAACTTGAAACACGTTTAGCTCGAATTTTCATGTCATGAATTATAACCCAATACATGTATACTGTTCATAGTTCACGTGAATTCCTTTAAATTATTGTAGAGTCAATTTTACTTTCTATATCTTTCTCCTTTTCGATTACGTCTATTTTATGTGGAAGAACGTTTAAACCATTTCATGCAAGCTCACCGTGATACAAAACCCTTACAAAAATGAGAAAGAAAGATTTGCAAGGAAAATGACACAAAACTACCACTTTTTTTTTCTGTGTGTGTTTAATTTGTGATTCTTATGACATTTAGTTTATGATGCAAATGATCGTTGAAAAGAAATTGTTAATTGTGAAGCCATCAAATGCCGCCGTTTTGTTCCTTTATTATTTGCAATCCTAACCATCAATTTGTGGCTGATCTAATGGCTGAGACTTCACCTAACAGTCAATGGTATATAAACGTGGGACTATTCACCTTTCAAACAACAGCTCTCTCTTTCGTGATCAAGAAAAAAAAGCTTTCTCTTCTAGGGTTCTTCGGTTCACTCTCAAATCTTGTAATCCTTGGTGCAATCTGTTAATTTGCAAGTAGAAGGTTGTGTTTCCTTCAAGGATAGAGAAGCTAGGATAGGTTTCTCTTAGGACTAAAGGGTTGTGGTGATTGTATTGAGTGATCGATCTATAGAGAGGGGTTTTTACTATTGTTCAAGTGTGTTTGTACTTTGTAAACTCTTGACAATCCTATTGCAGTGAGCCTCTGTA